AAAAATTTTATCCGATTAATCTAAGTAATAAAAGTCAAATTATGTCAGAGATCTATTAATATTTTACTTTAAACGTTTTGCAATACGTAGTGGCAATTGTGGCAAGCAATGATAAACATGTTGTAACGTAATCAATAGCAGTAGTAAGTTTGATATGATATGTGATTTCAAATGTGATTACGACGCAATTCGAATTTACGCGAAAATCATGTCGCTGACTATTATTAGCGACCACATTAAATCTCCGTTTATGGATGTCATATATGGAGCATGAGAATTCAGTTAATGTTGATAATGGATGCTGTCAAAAGACTGATTCCCCTCGGTTTAATTAGTGCAAAATACTGATTATGTTAATCCCCTTGCTGCCGATGCGAGATCATTAACGTAAAAGCAACCGGATGAATTTTGTTGTAATTAACACAATAAATAGATTCTATAGAAAAGTTTATTGTTAATTTAATTAATTTAATTTTAATTTAATTATAATAATTCAATTTTTATTTTAATTATTTTTTATTTCATAGATCTTTCATTTAATCAAATTGTTTATTAGAAAAAGATCACGCAAATGATTGACAAATACGTTTTTAAATTTTGGTTAAAAACATTTTTTAATTCATTATACATTTTTATTGTTGATACGCATTGCCACTACATGAAATTTAACATAAAGAAATTTTTCAGATTAACTGATTTCTTTTTTGAATATTTATTTAACATACCTGATAGGTCGATACCCGCAATGCTGCAAACATCTAAGCCACCGGTGCTAGTCGAGCAGCAGTGTTGTTTTGTTCCTAACGGCTTAGATCTGCACAGAATCTGCATATAAAAAGGAAATTAAAATTAACCGAATTATCAATCATGACATGCATTGATGGTTGAATAATGCTTGTCAGTTTGCAAACAATAAATCAATCGTTCCAAGTAGAAGTAGATTTTATAAGCTTTATTGATTACCTGCGTGATAAGGTTGAAATATTTCCCTTGTAAGAACGGATAATAAATTGATCTTAAAGCTCTCTGATAATCGAACATCACGCAATGTATTCATGCATGCATTTATGCATTTCATTTATCAGATTAACATAGAGTAGTTTAATTATAAGCGATATATATTGCTGCTTTCATAAACTTTGGGCACGAACAGAATGCTTCAAATGTAACGTTGGTCCTCAAGGGATACAGTTTGAATATATAATACACATTCGGGGAACTATTTTCTACGTAGCAATGTACCATGAGTTAAAATAATATATCAATTATTTAGTTGGAGTTTGTTTGTTTCATAACAGCGTACTATTATTACATGTTACCTCTTTTTTCAATTCAAGCTATGAAAAATAACTTTTCACTTCCTGTTATTTTTCATAATAATCTTGTTTTTACAATAATGCATGATAGAATTTTTATAGAATAGAATATTTCTTTCTCTATATTTTTCCCTCTTTTTAAAAGAAATAATATTTATAATAATTTTTCAAAATTATTTTTACATTTTACTTGGTATGAAATTTGCTGGTTATGCCAATTAATTTATATAATATTATATATATTTACATTATAAGTATATTTACATTATAAGTTATACATTACATGTAAAATATATTCTTTTCATATTATTTTAAATATAATCGAAAAGAATGTAAGAAATTTAATGATATTTGTGTTCTGTTTTGGAATACTATCTTATGTAAATTGTTTTATATAAATTTTATGAGCAATATCTGAGTCAATAAAAACCAAGATTTAACTGCAATATCCGACATATGATTCCCAAGGTACTTATTCTATTAAGAGTATATATACTCATATATGTGCAAAGCAATTTTTATAAGCTAATTGATTGCTTTATCAAAACGTTAATACATACAGAATACTGCCACTTGTGCCATCATAAAATTTAATGTATATACAGAAGCAGATTATGAGTTGTTATGCACAAATCTATAATTCTTTCTATGTACTTTTTCCAATAATAATTCACATATCTTTGATTTATTAATAATAAATTCAAATATTAAGATGATTTTTTCTTAATTAAAACTTCAAGATACTTATTATTTATAATAAAATCTAATATTGAAATTGAAAAAGTAATATGTAGAAATCACTCAATATTTAAAAACAATTCTAGTATTGGATTTTAAATATATGCATAATTGTGATCTTCCAATTTCATAATTTTATTATAATTTTAAGAATTTATCGATTAATCGATTAGCATTTTATTAAATGAAAATACAATAAATTGATTCACATGATACATTTTGATCCACTGACATCGTTTTACTTCAAACTCATTCGTCGTTTGCCAATCAAAACTCACGTATACCAATTGTAAAGAAATATCAAACATGCTGCACGAGTATTTTATTGTACTTGCATGTAGTTTTGCATCCGGCTTGCGTAGAGAGGAGGCCGCGGTGCACTTCGCGTGGCAATTAAAGATTTACTGCGCACCGACAGCTTTTCGGAATTCATGGTCTGTAAAGTCGAAGCAAGATCTATGTGGCCGCGGCCAAGCTACGCGACGTACTGCCGTTTTCCCTCTTTCCTGCTGAATCCGAAAAGAAAATTCAGCAAAAAAGAAGGAATCAACCACTGGATCTATGGAAAGTATCAAGGGCATTGCGTAACGCGTTTTGCACCGGATAAATCTTGTTTTCTCGGGTAGATACTATCACTTTCCATCGTGTTTTCCTAGAAAGTCACGTTAAGTCGTACGTCTTCATTCGTACGCTGGTGACATGAACCGCCATTCTCTTCGAGAAATTTACTGATTCTGTTGCAGCACGATTGATTTCGCGGAATAAAAGAAGTGAAGCGTGAAATCAGAAGCCGGAAAATGCGGAACCTGTGATGTAACGAAAAGATAAAACAATCGAGAGAAAAAGAAACCTAGATAAACAAAGAAAGCGTTTGCCTTACAAATTTATTGAACCTTTCTAATCGTATAAATTTTCTGTTTACTGTACTTTTCTTCTCTCCTTAGTTTATATTTTATCTTACTTATCGCTATTTTATTTTCTTGATCATACGCGTTGCTGCATCCAACATATTTGAATTATAATATAGAATATAGAAACGTTACATTTTTATATATATATATATAAAACGTTTTATTAATTATAAATTATCATTGATTATAAACATTATTTATTATTGATTATAAAATTATTAACATTGTTATATATTTGCAATTATATATATTATCATAAATTACAAATATTACTATAAATTATTATATACTTACTAATTATAAATGATCATTAATAACAAATTATTATGTACAAATTAACTGCGCATGAAAAAGATTATTTATATTTATGTCTTATTTTTGTGATTTTATCTTTTACAAAATGTGATATTTTACTTCTATTTCTTTTTCCAATTTTTGTTTCCAGTTAGTAGGGAAAAATTATTTGTCACTTGTTATAAGTGCTTGGACTAAACTTTAATGGACGTTTAAAAACACGCATCCACGAATGCGTGCAATTCCACTTGTACATAACAAAATTTACGTAAAATTCACACATATGAAATAATGTTGACTACGGCCGTAATAGTCTAATATAATTCGCAAAAGCCGGATGAATTGATTTTGGGATATACAAGGAAGCAGAAGCGAAATAAATTCTATTATTCTAAAATAAATTGATGAAAACAAAAATATAAAACTTGTCGTTTTGTTACTTATATTGAAAATAAATTTTAATCACATTAGTATATGATTCTTTCTTGATTTCAAATTTTGTGTCAAAGCAAATAAAATTTTATAGTTGCATTCCATTTTGCAATTTATTTTTTATTCCTTTATTTGTATTTCCTTTTCTATACTTTACGTATCAATGCAATAAATAAAAAACTTGTTAACACTAATTAACTTAAAATTTAAGTTTGATATACTCTTACCTTAGTATAGAGAAACTCCCTCGAAATTCGGCGGAAATGATTGTTGAGCAGCCAATAAAGGAAAGGATTCCAGAAGCTGTTGGAAAGAGCCAGCCACGTGGCCAGGAAGTCGAGAAATGGCGGTGGCTTACTTCCGGTGCAGGCTGCAACGACTTCCTGAATCGTCCATGGTGTGACCATAACGATGAAACCTAAACTCATTGCAGCCATTGTTCGCGAAGCTGAGGTCGACAATCGTCTCTCATGGGCGACAAGCTGAAATATGTAAGATGTCTTCTCTGCAGTTTTCATCTCGTTTAGATGATAGTTTAGATACAATTTCTTGCGAGAAAGCTACTTTCCCGTAGGGATGACTGATTCACATAGTCATTTGGGCTTAGCAAACCCAACGGACCTGAGCTCAATATATTGCGGACATTTATACTTTATATGTACATCCATACATACGTTTTTGTGAATGATAATATAAGGAACATTTTAAGGAAAAGTGGAAGCAAGATATACAATCTGATTTAAGAATGTCTTTTAAAATATGCAGTCCTTTTTGTGAAAGTCTGTGTAAAATTTAAAAAAATTTGAAATTTTATGTGAGTATAAAAGTAGCTCTAATTATAAAACATTTTTTGTAACTGCTGTTTTAGGGATAGACATTTTTTGAAAGAAATCAGTGTTTATGTTTTTAGCGGATATCGCCGTAATAATAAGAAATATGAAAAAATGTTTTGAATAAAAGTGCTTTTAAGTTTTATTAAAAATATTTTTTCATTGTTTCGACGATATTCGTTTAGAAACTGATTTTTTTCAAGGATGGATGTTTTCATCCCTAATATCACTAAATACAAAAATTATTTCGTCTAATTATTAAGTTCATCTATCCATGGAAAGTTTTAGAGTTTTTAAATTTTACACTTACCGAATTTATATTGTCAGACAAAACTGCATAACGTTTAAAATAATATTCTTGAATTCCTAAAATCGAATATCAATTGCTACAAAAAGTTATTTTATGTTTAGATTTGTCTACTCTATATATTTATGCAATATTTTAGATATTTTTGAATTTTATTTTTGCTGAACTTTCCTCGTGACTCAAAAATGATTAATTTCTTATCCGTAGAATTGGAAGGCAACATAATATTTCCACTCAATAACATCATAATTTAGTATTTTATGATATTATTGGCTTAAAATCTATTTTTATAATGTGTGTTAGAATTCAAAATAGAATTCTATATTTTCTAATTTTTATACTGTTTTTTATATTTTCTATTATCTTATATTTTCTATATTTTCTATATTTTATACTGTGATATAAAAAGTAATATATAAAAAGTAATATAGTAATTAGAAATATACATACGTATAGAACATATATTAAAATGAAGAGTATACAATTCGAATTATAGGTCTTTTAAAATTGGCGATATATCTTAGAATGTTAAGAATAGAATATAACTAAGATATTTATTTTTTATGATATACCAGCATTTCATTCTTCATTAAGTATTCTTTTTAGAAGATGGAACTCATCTTCTTAATAACTCTTTTGACTGATGAATTTTTGAATAGAAGGTTGAGTTTAACGTCGGCTTGATTACTGTCGAGTTTCAGACTGTGGCGTTTATATTTAATTACAGCGATCATACCGCGAACGATATTCGAATGAAAAATTAAATAGATGTTTCTTTCTTTACATTAGACCCGAAATATTATAGAAAATTCAACTTTCAAATTGTACTTTCTAACATCTTTAATATCATCACCTTGCAAATAATCTTCTTAAAGTTCAAATTTCATCCCATAAAGAAGTTTTAAGTGCGGGAGGGGTACGTCTTTTACGATCGGCATCGACATCTTAAATCATCTTAAATCTATAACGCTCTGTCTTACGATATTCGCTAACGCAATTGTTCGGAAGAGTAACGGCCGCACATTATCGATATTTTCCTAAAAGTCCGCTGATCCGTCTTGAGAACTTTTGTGTTTCAATTACTTTCACGGTTTCCAAGATGATTACATTTCATAGTCAAGTCGGATAAGGATTTTTTTACAATAATACATTGTATTAATTAGCATTATTTCAATACGAAATGAAAGTACATTTCCGTTTATTGTGAAACAAAGTGATATTTTTTGGTGAACAAAGAGAGAAAATTAAAATTGAAGAAGATAAGGGAGCGATATTTATAATTGAAGAATTGCATCTATAACAATGGGATAAGATTTTTTTTAACGGAAAGAACGTGTGACATTTCGTCAAACGGTAAATTCCTCGTACCTTAGTCTCGGGGATATAATCTCAAAAGCAGACGTAATGTCAGAAAAGATCTGGACGAATGGCTCTTAACGCGCTAAAGGCTTGCCGACGCATCTCAGTCTCAACTCGTCCTTTAGGCCGGCTTGACACGGTTACGAAAGTCGCTAAGCGCTAAGCTCGTCAGCATCAAAGCCTTTCGTCGTGCGGCAGTAAAAGGATTACGAATCTGCTCGTTTAGCTGGATCCTTCCATTTCCACTCTCTTCGTCCTGTCTTTTGCTTCTTTTTTTCTGTTCTCTTTCGCCTCCCTTTCTGTGCGGCATCTATATGTAAGCTCTCTTCGAAAGTTCTGGGATTACAACAGTAATGCCTGGATAGGTGTGAATACGGTTGGTAAGTGTAGAATTTCTTAAATGTCCAACAAAACTAATCAAAAGATATGTTCTTTGAAATGGTTTCGTATCGAATGGATGAACTATTACTGCTCTCTGAGTATGCCAGTTACTTTGAGATATCTTTCTACAAAGATATATTATAAGAATCATATTCTTTAAATAATATTCATTGAGATTAGAAGAATTTTGTCTTTTATTTATGACTTCTTTTGTTTACAAATTAATTGTCTGTAACACCGTTTGCCTACATCTCATTTGTCTACAGATCGATTGTACACACGTTATTATTGCCTACAGATTGATTGACTACAAACACTTTTGTGCACAAATATTATTTTATATATAAAATTAAGGTTAAATTACATAAGAAAATAATTTGTGTTTTTAAATCAGAGAATTTGTATTTTAAAACAGAAAATTTATGTTTTAAAACACAGAATTTATGTTTTAAACCAAAGAATGATACTTGCAATAATACATAATAGGCAAAATTCCTTCTGAAATTTGTATTTATGTGCAAAAGTGTAGGCATGTAGGCAGTTGAACTATAGATAATCGATTCGTAGGAAAATGGAGTTCTCTTTTATCTATTAATTACAATTTCTTACTTTCTTTCTAAAAGTTGAATAAAAGCAGATACTTGTAGGATATATATACTCGGAAAGGCGGAGAAAAAGAAGACAAGAATCTAGACAGGAATGTCATTAGCATATCATGCCAGCAATGGAAAGGCAAAGCGCGAGACAAACTATTCAGTCGAATTAGCATTCCGGTTCGATTTATTGTCCTAACTTTAGTGGACAGGAAATCCCGGTACTCTCTTTAACGTGATATGTATCTCGTACATGTGCCATACCGCGACGATTCTTGCCGAGCTTATAACTCGTTAAACTTTCATTGTACTACCGCTCTGTTATAATGCAATAGAACTTTCGCCCCGATGGAATAAGAATCTTCGCCTCGAGCTATCTAAACTCAGAATTGACTATTCAGTATGAATTGTGCAAGTGGTGAATACAACTCTGTTAATATAATACTGCCATTCTCATCACGATGTATACAAAACATTAAAAATATTTTCCTTTTTTCACGAATTCTATGAATACAAGTTACTCAGAATAATTTAAGAGTTCAAAAATGTATGATGCTTGCTAATTAAAAATTCTTGCTTACCTAAAAATAAAACCAGTAGAAAAAATATGCTTTGATATTGTTCGATAAAATGCAGGAATCTTTAAAGATAAAGATTCTTAAAATTTGATTTTAAGTCGTAAGCTTTAAACGAGTTTATTTGTTGCGGATAGGATAGATATACATATAATCACGTTACCAAATGACGTTTATTGCAGAGATCTTGATATTAACATCGTATATTATTTATTTTGCATCAAATGTTTTTCACTCTATCAAATTTGTCACAGAACCATTTTATCGACAATCTATATTTCTCAACGTTGTGCATTCTGAATTTACGAGTTTCCGGGAATGTGGAGATTATCTATCATCGTTGTATAGTAGTCTCAAAAGAAAATTGAAAGACCTTTTGAATTCTGTGCGCGGTCAAGGAGAATAATCGAGCAAATAGAAAATTGACGATGCTTATTGCGCTATAATTTATAAAATTATGAAGAATTGATATACTACAATATTTATGATATGATATATTGCAAATATAATAATGTATGATACAAATGATAAACTGCAAAGATACTGTGATTTAAAAATTTTTTTCAATTTGATACATGAAACATATATATTGAATTCAATAAAATGAATTCAACAAATTAAATTCTCAAATAAAATAATGGTTTAATTCTCTTTTACGATCCTAAATAATAAAAAAATTGCGAATTTTATAATACAGTTTATGTCAATTTACATTATGCAATGCATAAGAAAAATATATGAGAAAGCTAAAGATTTGTGGTCCTAAGCAAACAATTATAACAAAGTAAATAAGCTTTTAATGCGATATATAATCCTAGAAATAATCGTATTATCACGAGAGAGCGCAACATAGTGTGTGCAGTGTTAAATTTATATATCTCTACATATGCCATTCGCAGAATGCGCGCATTTACAACAATGCAGACATTATTTCCATCGTAATTATGCAAGGTGTTACACCATTTTGGAGCAATCCGTGTGATATGTGGTTGTGCGTTAAAGGGATTATTTACGAATCAAAACGCTTGCATATTGTCTAATCTTTTAAACAAAATCATTTTTTAAAATTGTTTTTAAAAATATTTTATGACTCTATATTTAATCCTCTTTGTTTTTCAGATAATTCATACAAAAAATTATAACTAGAATGTTATTCTGAATTCTGACGAATTATAGATTGTGTAAAGTAAATTTTACGTAAGGAAAAATGTTACATGTAAAATAATGCATTATTTAACAGAAAACGCATTCTTTTGAAATAGTTATTATCTAATGAAGCTCAAAGAAGATTAAACTTTAAATAAGAATGATACTTATGTATAAATTATTTTCAATTACGTTTATTATATCGAATTTTCCAATCTATTAAATATATTATTTAGTTATATGTATGGTTGATACATCGTATAGAATTTTCGACCATTAAATTGAGAACGT